TGGTGTAATCAGAACTGATCGATTAAATATTTGTTCAAATATATTAATAAGGGTCCAGATTATATACAAGCTAAAGTTGAAAAAATGGTGATGAAGTTATAATTGATGACGAGGTACAAAGATTCTTAAATTGCAGGTCAGTTTTATTTCAACTATACATCTATACTATTCCATGTTATTAACAATTATTTTAACAAGTTTTCTAAATATTAAAGCATCTCTCACCATACGAAAGCAGTTGGAGGATTTTAGCTTTTTCGTGCCACAACAGTTGTACAGTTGTCTTTTCATTTACCTAATCAACAATGGGTTGTTTATAATGAAGACAATCCCGTTGAAGAAGTAACTAATCATCCATCAGTTGCACGGTCAAAGTTTCTAGATTGGTTTGAGGTGAATAATCAATTTAAGGAGGCTGCCAACTTGACATACGCTGAATTTCCAACTATGTTTGTTTGGGTAGCAAAAACCAGATCCTGGAAATTACGGCAAACAGGTTTTGCTATTGGGAAAATAACGTATGTGCCACCTTCTTATATAGAGGTGTACCATCTAAGAGTGTTGCTTAATATTGTCAAGTGTTCGAAAAGCTTTGAGGATTTACGCACAATGACTGGAGTTATTCATCCTAAATTTAAAGATGCGTAAGGCTTTAGGATTGCTTGATGATGATAAAGAGTACATTGAGGCTATTAAGGAAGCAAGTTTGTGGGCATCTGGAAAGTTCTTGTGCCGATTATTTGCTATTATTCTGACTTCTAATTCTGTCATTGCACCTCAAGATCGTTGGAATTGAATGTGGGAATATCTTACTGATGATATCTTATACAATATGAAAAAAACAAAAGAATCAAAGTACATTACCTAAACGTCTTTTTCATATATTTCTATAAATGATTACTCATATTCTATAGATTAATAATTTTTTTCTTGCCTTGCAGATTTGATTATGTCTGATATGCAGTTGAAGAATCATGCATTGTTTAAGAGAGAAAATATATGCGTTGAAATGGTAGCACTTTAAAGAATTATGAAACAATGCCTCGCCCAGATGATGTTTCATTCGAAAAAGACAAGAATCCTCTGATTCTCGAAGAAAAAAGTTATGATCGTGAAAAATTACATGCAGCACATAGAGAAATGTTGAAAACCATCACCGATGAACAAAAAAGTATATATGTTCAAATTATTGGAGCAGTGAAAAACAATACTGGTGGTATGTTTTTCGTATATGGTTTTGGCGGAACGGTAAGACTTTTTCATGGAGTATTCTTGGTGCTGCTCTTAGATATCAAGGCATGATCGTTCTTAACGTTGCGTCTAGAGGGATAGCATCATTGCTGTTACAGAGATGCCGAACTGAACATTCACGATTTGGCATCCCGATTGCTGTTAATTCAACAACAATGTGCTCAATAAATAGCAATTCACCTCAGGCTGATTTGATCAGAGAAGCAAAGCTAATTATATGGGACGAGGCTCGTATGATGAGTAAATATTGTTTTGAGACTCTGTATAGAAGTATGCGTGATATACACAAAAATGATAACATTTTTGGTGGCAAAGTCATTGTATTTGGAGGAGATTTCAAGAAAATATTGCCTGTTATTGTAGGAAGTAATAGCACCCAAACTCTTATGGCTACCAAAATGTTTTCTACTTTATGGGATAGTTGTACGGTTTTAGAACTATCCAAGAATATGAGGCTTCAAAATGGTGTAGGAAGTGATCGCGTTAATGAGCTAGAGGCCTTTTCAAAGTGAATTTTGGATGTAGGAAACGGCAAAATTATTTCGACTGACAACGATGAAGCCGAAATTGAGATCCCTGACAATTTACTGATATAAGAATGTGCCGATTCTGTTAAAGAGATAGTAAGATAAGTGTATGGTGATTCATACAGATCGAAAAAAGACCCAAATTTTTTCAAGATAGAGCAATTCTCAGTCCGAGAAATGCAAATGTGGGATTAATAAACGAATACATGTTGTCGGAAATACAAGGTAAACATAATTAACGCTTTATACATACGATGTTACACATGAGCTTCATAATGTGATCAAGTGAACTTCATAAACCATTTTTCTAGGTGAGGAACAATCATTTTTAAGCTCGGACAGCATTAATACGTCTGATAAGGGCAAGATTGATGAAAAATTCTACACACAGGAATATCTTATTAGTATTAAGATCTCAGGATTGCCAAACCATGAATTAAAATTGAAAATATGGACACCTATTATGTTGCTTTGGAATATTGACCCTAGAGGTGGTTTATGCAATGGAACAAGACTCTTGGTAACACAGTTGGCCAAACATATTATTCAAGCTAGCCACATAACTGGAGAATATATTGGTCAAAAGGTCTTGATCCCACAAATGTTTGTTTCCCCCCATCGAGACAAAGTTTCCTCTTAGAATGAGGCATAGACAATTTCCGGTAGCTATCGCCTATGCAATGACTATCAATAAAAATCAAAAACAGACTTTGCAAAAGGTTGGTCTGTATTTACCAAAACCGATATTTTCCCATTGACAACTTTATGTGGCTATTTCACGTATTACCTCAAGAGCTGGTTTGAAGATTCTGATAATGGATACAAAGGGTAAGCCACAAACAAAAACTTTGAACGTTGTATACAAGACCGTCTTTCAGAAAGTAAGAAAACGATAGTTTATTTTTTGTAGGTTTAGATTTTTACTATTTAAATGGTTTATTTAATCATTTATTAAATAACACTTTGGTTTACTTATGCATCCGAATTGATACTCTTTTTCTTCATATTAATGATTGTCCTCATTGTCGAGAATCAACACTTTTATTAAACATAAAATAAATAGAGTACAAAACAATAATGGTGTTTGTACATAACGAATTAATAAGTTTTTCAAAAATACAATTATCCAACTAACAAAATTTATGGATTTGATACGATACATGTTACAATAACTACGAATGCTCTTCGAAATTAAAAAGTTTATATAATACATAAGCGTTTTAACATTATAAAAAAAAATAAGTATTCAAATTCATAGCCCTCGCAAACCCGCGCATGGCGCGGATCCCCACCTAGTTACAAATAAAAGTTGAAGTTATATGCTTCTAAACGCATTCACATAGGATTTAAAAGTTTATTTCTATTGGTCCACATTAATTTTTAAAATAAAGAAAGTTTCTAAATTTTAAAATTGTATTGTTAATACAAAAAATATAGGAAAAATTCTTAATTTAAAATTTTTTATTACTAATAATAGTTAAAGCTATATGCTTTTCAGAGCGTCAAAAGCAGCATTTAAACTTTCAATTTTATTTATATATATCAGAATTCAAAATTTCAAAAAGTTTACAAATTATAATATTATTATCAGGAAAAAAAATTAAAAATAAGAAAATCTATAAAATCTCCATTAACAAAAAAAATGATTTGAAAATAATTTTATTTATAATGAAGTAATTTTATCATTGGTTTAGTTACAAAACTTATTTATTATATATTAATATATTTATAATATATATATATATTATTCATACAAGTTGAAGTTATTTGATTTTAAGGCTTTCCACGTAAATTGTTTTTTAATAACTAATAAATTTACATTTATCATAATTTTTTTACATTTACAAAACATATTTTCACATAATTTCATATAATATATTGTGAGAAAATGATCGAAGAAATTATATTTTGTATATTCGACTTGGAATGGCCAAAGATCAATGTACAAGTTCTTAGTTTTGAGTTGATATAATTGTTCTTTATTTTTCTAAAATTTTATGTAAATACTACTAGTACTTTATACTTAATTATAATCGGAAAATTTGAGAATGAAGTATGATAAAACTGAATATAAATCATCAAAAAATCATTAAAAATTTGAATATAATATAATAATTAAAAACAGATATAACAAGGATAAAAATGAACATGATAAAAAAATATTTCTCATTCTGATTGGAAAAGGCAGGGTATAGTGATTGAAAATTTATTTAAAAGTTATCACAACCAATTGATAAATATATATGAATTCACATATTTTCTGTGATTTTATTCATTTTATATTGATCTGTTGTTTGGTTTTAAATTTTAAGTTGTTATTAATCTTAAAGAAAGAGTTGTGCTTATTAGTTTGTTTTTCAAATTAATTAACCAAAATAGAAATTTGTATTGTGTAAACTAAAGAATTTTTTTTTTTTGAAATGTTATTAAATCACAAACTTTATCTGACTCTGCCAAATTAGACATGCCATCAAATTCATTAATGAACTTATTAAATGGGATTATATCCTCTTCCAAACTTCTGTTAAACTGAAACAATGTGTTCCCAGAAAGATAAAATCCCAAATCAAAAATTTCAAATCTAATTCATAAATTGATTTCTATCAAAAACGAAATCTTCTACTCGATTTCTCTTATCGAAATCTTGATTCATGTTCGATACTCGTCTATTCTTTTTCTTCCTATTTTAATGAATTCCTGTTCAACTCTCTCGCGGCATGATTCCACAGGATAAGATATCCAACCAACGAACAAGGGAAGTAGCTTTAGATAAGAATCGATTTTTATTTGAGGGAAATTGATTTTAGGGATAAGGGTTTGAGTGTTGTCGATTTGAGGATTTTCTGTTTATTATAATTAAGAGCAATGATGTTTCAGCTTAACAGAAGTTTAGATGATGATTTGATTCCGTTTAATAAATCCGTTAATGAATGTTGGCTTAATTTGGCAAAGTCAAAAAAGTTTGTGATTTAAAAACAAAGTCAACATAAATTTGTGATTTAAAATATTCAAGCAATAGTTAGTGCTTAAATTGGCGGAATTTGAAAGTTGAGGATTTAAATGTCATTTATTTTTTTGGTCAGGCCACCATTAAAACCATTTTTAAGAGGGATTATATATTACATAACTTTTATTACATATCCATCACAAAAACATTTAGAATTTTAAAGTAACAGAAAAAAAAACATGAAACATATGAAAGAAAATATTGGTGGTGTGTTTTATTTGTATGTATTTTGAATTGACCAGAACGTAATTAGATGAATATTTTCAGAGATTCATCCATACGAGTGTACTTCACATCCGGGTAGAGTCTCGAAACTTCATCGTCATCTCTGACTTCATGATCTGTGAGACAACCTTCATAGAATATGTGATAGAAGTGTCCTAATCCTGCTTGGTGTGCTATGCCCTTATCCTTATCTGCACATACAGTCAAAAAAATATGTACTCCAAAACTTACCTTTAATTGAATTAATCCAAGTCTCGACCATTTCGATTTTGTTACTATTATACGATATATGCTGTATATGAATGATCGAGACTTAATTACCTTCAATGTCGGCAAGAAATTCCTTTGCAGAAATATAGGTCTTTTACAATTCTTTTCCGGATAGTTTCTCCCATATTTGAACTAGTTCCATTTGCGTGAGAATGTTATCTGCAGGTCTAACATACATGGTTTTATTAATCGTTCGGGGATCATTAAGTGTCTTTGCCGTATATTTTCCGATATCATCTTCATCCACGAATACCACTGTAATAATGATTAAGAAAAATGATTAAAACATATTTTTGATCCAAATCGATGAAAAATGAAAAATAAAAATAAAATTCTCCGTAAATGTTCCATCTTTAACATTTCCATCCCCATAAATATTGATTTTTTCTTTTGGAGGAATCAAAGTTCCCATTTGAGATAGATTTCCTGCAAAGTACGCGGCAAAACAAGCGCCAACAATGTACGTGTGGGGGATTCCAGCGGCCTCAATTGCATTTCGTACTTCCATTTTTTGATCAAATGTTTCTCTTCCTGGGGGAAACGCATGTCCCATACGCGGTGGATCCATTCCAAATTCGGATGGTAAAAAGCGCTGAAAATTTCTGACTTGTTAGTGCTTTATAAATAGTCGATCATATGGATTTGATAAAATTTTTAGTTTAAACATAATAGATAATAAATATGAGCCTAATATTCATCCAAAAGCTATTTCAATAGTAGAGAAATACAACACACTTTTATATTATCTACAAAATTTGCAAAATTTTGATGTTAGACAAAAACTATTTTAACAAAGCACAAGCAACATAAGCTAACACTGTGGTGTTCAAGTTTCCGTATTTTTGATGATTATATTCAATGATTGACTGGTTTTTTTTTTGTTCATGTTCTTGTCTAAAAGAATTTAGCGAACACCGATTTTGGAGTTGTCAAAACTAATGAAGAGCAACAATGGAGCGGACGAAAGTTTGGTGGTATGCTCATTTTATCTGGTGGTTGTTATCATAATACTAGGCAAATTAATCGTTTCAACATATATTAATCGGTTCCGTTTAATAAAAAATATAAAATATTGATGTTAGGTGAGAAAATGTTCATCGGTTAGTGCATTTGTCTGCATGACTGTGCATATGTTGACAAAAAAGACGTGTGCTGAAAAAAATGGAATCTTTGAAAAAAATGGCATCTTAAACTGAAACTATTAGTTTATGTTGGTGTATGTCAGTAGAGAACTGCATTCACCTAAATAATATTTTCTTAACATGTAAAATTAATTCATGTTGGTATATTTTTCGAAGAAAAATTTAAAGGAAACGGTTTTGGAATACTAACCTATAGTATCCGGTAATATACATTGCTCTAAATTATGAGGTAACCCCGGTCTAAGAAAACGTAATAACAACGTAGACAGAGCCAATTTCGAGTTTTCGAAATGCTACAAATTTGGCCCTATATATTTTTCACTTTCTAAAAGTATTTTAAAGAATAATACTTAGAAACTAGCCAATTAAATTTGTTCAACTAGACGTAGTGAACATTTAAATCAGACTGAAAAATATTTATAAAATTGGGACACCTCAAGCATGAACTTCACCATTTTGACTGAAGGATTGGCTTTGAACCAGATACCAGAGATATCCTTACTCTGTTTCAGAATATAAATTTTATTTCAAAATATAAAATGTTTTCACATTTCTATGCAAAAATTACATTTATCAGATACTACATGACTAATTATATTTTGCAGTTTTTTTTATTATTGGCTGAATTATTTGAAGAAAATAATTTTATTTATTTTTTTAGTTTTACTAAAAACATATCTTATATTATGAAGCTATCAATTGAAATTCACTGATAAGATTCATTTCATCGATCTGATACAGTAATATATATATATATTACCTTGATGTTACCGGCCTCTTTGATGGCTTCGACAAGCTTGAGCTGAACAAGAATATTGTGGCTGCAAAAATGAACACCCGACATGGCCGAGACAACAACATGGACTTGCTTCACAGCGGAGACAAGGCTCTGATGGTCGGAGAATGAAGCTTCAACTAGACGTGCGCCGAGTCTTTTGAAAGAGTGAAGTAGCTGCACCTTCTCAATGTCCACTCCGATCTCTGACCGCTGCAGAACGTAAGTCTCGTGTCCTTCAGTCAAACAAGCCGTTACAATCCTCCTCCCTAACGACCCCGTCCCACCAATCACCAGAACGCGCGTTTTCTCGTCGCAATTATCCTCTCTCATTTCTCTAAGATATGTGTGGTTTCTTGATGGATCTGATGGATTGTCTTCCTCACAGCAGCTCGAATATTTATACACATACGTTGCTACATATATATGTCATTTAGTGTATATATATAGGTTATTAAATCAAAACTTTCAGACTTTAGGCCCGTAATCTTTTTTAGAATAAGTAAATGTTTATATATATTGGTTATTAAATCAAAAACTTTCAAACTTTAGGCCGGTAATCTTGTTTAGAATAAGTAAATGTTTAGGCTCAGATTGATAACCTGCAGAATGACGAAATTGCGTTTTTAAATACGATTCCGCAAGTTTTTTGCCAATCAATAAAAAACTATCAATACAAATCTATGAAATGAGAAAATACACATTCTGCAAAATTTTTTTTACCATTCCACAAAATTACCAATCAAAACCTTAGTTTTTTTTCGTATGTGTGCACCTAATATTGTATATGCATTATGATTTCTAAACAAAGGTATGGATTTTATACTAGATCACGATATACTGATAATATCTCTAGTGCAACCTGCAGTAAAGTTAAAATAAAAAATTCTCAATTATACGTTTATAGCTTTATGTAGCTATTTTGCTTACATTTTTTCTTTTTTTGCGTACATTTCAATCTCATAGAAAGACCTCGTTTCTTTTTTCTTTCTTAGTTTTTATCAACAGCAATATGCATTATCATATAAAAATATATTTAATGAGTAAATAAACGAGCTCTTCCTAACTTGATTGGTAACTATATATATATATATATATATATATTTGGCTTCATTATGCGTATATATATATATATATATATATATATTTGGCTTCATTATGCTAATGATTAATCAAGTTTTGGATATATTTGATGGAGATTAAACTAATCGGGCTGCTTCGAAGTGGTTCAATCCAAACCCGTTGGATAATTGTAATTTATGTATGTGTAGTAGCTAGGTTTTGATATATAGTGCAATCATTAAAATAATCTATGATTTTATAAAAAAAAAAGGTCGGTGTTGTGAGTTGTGACCCACACGGCCATGCTTCATACAAAGGTAATTCTTGGGACATATAAATATTTGAGTGATTGCATTTTCTGTAATTTATAGAGACTTCTTGCTATTGGGGTACTTTATCTCCTTTTGCCCCACATAGAAAGACAAATAAACCCTTCATCCTACTAACACAAATTTCACCATTCTGTGTTTGTTTTTATTTTTACCATAGTTATTATACTTAAAAACCGGCGATGTTCTCCGAGAAGTTATTACCGGAAACATTTGTCCGGCCGTCGTTTACCGAGAACTTATTACCGGAAGTATGAATTTGAAATTGGGTAAAACTTAATTGCCGGCGGAATGAAATTCAGTTTTGGAGTAATATGTAATGCAGCGGATGTGAAGGAACTAGAAAAATGCGGCGGATGTTAAGCAAAAAATTGGTTGGAAAAAAAGTTTCGGATGAATTAGTTGAAGACGTTGATTTGGGATTATATTCGAACAATCATTCCTTGTTTGTCCTGTATATTTGGCTTAGAAGTTTGCACATGTGATTATGTAATTCAGTGGATTTCTTCGATTTCCGATATCTTGGTCGAAGACTTACAGAAAAGGATTTGCCGTAAGATGTTGTGGACGAAGAGGATGTGGATACAAGATTCAGACGATACTTACAGTGATGTAGTGGATACAATTCCATGGATGTGTTTGAAACAAATATGTAGGGGGACCCACATTTAGTTTACGTATGCGATCATGACCGTTCCTTTTGCACGCCTGCATTAAATTATCTCGATCGTGCGTCTAATCTTGCTTTGGTAGGTAAACGTCAATTCGTACAGCTGAGCAACGTTGTAAAAACTAGGTTTAAGCTTGTTCCCAATTTAGCAGACAAGTTCGGCGCTGGCGGACATAGCTCTTCGAGGTTTCCCGTTTTCAACTATTGTGTTTAGTTCGCCATGGATGGTGTATTCGTGGACATGGTAGTAAATGAATCTTTTTATTCATTGCAGGTATGGATGAACATTGCCTGGTTATCAGTGGCGAGTGGATGCGTTCGAGAGAAGGTCTATGAGATTTTGTTGTGGACAAGCTGAAGATGTCGAGGGTTGTACCTGTGAGGGCAGGAATGAGTATCGAGCAGCTTAAGAAAAGCGTTCTGAATGAGTTTTTTGACGATGGAGGTGAAGGTGTAAGCGTAACGTTAAGCTACTGGCCTCCTAATAGCAATGAATTGGCGACAGGCATTTCTACTCCTCCAGTGATGGTGACAAATGAAGGTTCCATTGGTTATTTCCTTAAACATTTCCGCGTTCAACCAAATGTAAATCTTTTCGCAAGGTTTGTTGGAGAACAGATAAAGTTTGGGAGAAGCGGTTTAGAAGGTGGTAGCAGTGGTTTAAAAAGTCCGGTAACGAAACGGAGCAAGACGAGTGATTTTATTGGTCCAAATTCTGGGTACAAAACACCTTTCCCGACGAGAAGAGGCCCAAGTGATTACGAGACAGGGGGTTTTATGTTTCAAACTCCTCTGAGTACCCCTGGTAATGGTCTGACAAGTGGGGAGGGTTCACACGTTTTGTTTAAAGATCCAGTTGTGTCTACTATACCTGACTTTTGTAGCGATGAAGTTTCGTGGAATGGGCGTAAGGTTGGTTTTATGCCGACAAATCCGGACAGTGAAATGATACAATCGGCGGGGATTTCAGAGGATAGTGCTGGTAGCGTGATTAAAACGCCAGTGTCATCAGGTGGGGCAACTTTTGGTGAGGCTTCTATTCACTCTGGGAAAAACTTACCTAAGACGTCGAGAATGTCGCAAGATGAAGTCTTCAAAACACCCGTTGCTCCAGGTCGGGCAGGGACCGAGTATTTGGGGGGGGAAATTGGATGAGCATACAGCTAAGCTAAAAAAGAGGTCCTTTTTTTTTATATCTAATTTCTTTTTCAGGAATCCTTGCTCATCCAAGTTTGTTCAGCACACCCATTAAGTCAAGGAGCTTTTCAGAAGGTACTGAAGGTAGTGATCTATCGATGAGAGGAGCTTCTGCACCAAGACCTTTTGTTGAAGGTGATATGTCAAGTAGGGAAGTTTCTGCACCACCAACTTCCCAGAAGTTACTGTTTACTGAGTCTCAAGATGACGATAAACTATTACAGCACGGCGATATGTTTGAGAAAATGTATAAAGGTGGTATTGGTAATGGGGAGTTCCATGATCAAATGCATTCTGATTCTGATGCAACTGTTCTTACAGACAGTGACGATGATGATGGTGGTTTTATGGATGATCAAGACAAATTTGATGTAATGCATCATGAGTATGATAAGGAGTTTTGGGAGCCTTTTTTAGATGAACAATTTGGAGGCTCCAATGCAGCTGAGATTATGTGCGATCCCGTGGAAGCATCTGACAATAAGTGGGCTAGTGTTAACGATGTAAATGTGATAAGGTGCTGTACTAATGATGCTTTTGACCACGATGCTAAAGTTGGCAGAAACAAATTTAGCCCACGCAGTTTAGGCTCTGTGGATGACGATGAATTCGACATACCTCCATTGTTTGACGACACGCTGTACGAGAATGCTGAAATTCCTTATTTGGATTTGGCCGATGGTGAGGACTGTGTGCGCGTGGGGAAGGTCTATCCATCTAAGGAGGATTGTAGGATTGCATTGGCCATCTATGCAATAAAAGAGATGTTCCACTTTAAGCAAACACGAACAAAGCACAACAGTTTTGTTTTGAGCTGTGTGGATACTCGTTGTGATTGGAAGGTTTTAGCAAAGGAAATCCATAATAGTTCATATTACGAGATAAGAAAGGCACACCTTGAACACACTTGTGACATAGAAACTCGCAAGGAGTTTAAGAAGAAAGCATCCTCGCGTGTAATTGCTGCTGTTTTCAAAGCCAAATTTGGTGACCCTGTAAGTGGACCTAAAACAAGAGAGTTGCAGCGCCTTGTCCTGGAAGATCTCCGTGTTAACGCTTCCTATATGAAGTGTTATAGGGCGAAGGAAAGTGCAGTTCTGGGGTTAGAGGAGCGGATGATGACTCTTACAGCAAGCTCCCTGAATATCTTTACATGCTGAAACTTACTAATCCCGGTACTGTGACTAATATGAAGACAAAGACAGATGAAGATGGTCTTGAGAGGTTTAAGTACCTGTTTTTGTCATTTGGCGCGTCGCAGGCTGGGTTCCGGAGATTGAGGCACCTAATTATCTTAGATGGAACACATTTGGGAGGTAAATTCAAAGGAGTGTTACTGACAGCTAGTGGGCAGGACGCAAATTTTCAAGTTTTCCCACTTGCCTTTGCTGTAGTGGACAGTGAGAATGATGCAGCTTGGACTTGGTTCTTGCAGAACTTAGACAAGTGCTGCAGACAGCAACAACCAAGTTAACTATATCTCAGATCGGTACAACTCTATTAAGGCAGCTAAGAAGGATGTGTACACTAAACCAAATCCCCGGAGCCTTGCATGTCCATGTCAGAGGAATGTGACATCAAGGTACAAGAATAAAGGATTGGCGAAGTTGGTAGGTGCGGCTGCTTATGCATTTACAATTCCAGATTTCCCGTGAGCTGTACGGCAAGATAAAAGGAATTAATGGTGATTGTGCTCGATATTTAGAGAAAAATGGGCACATCGTCGTGGACACGGGCTAATTTTCCTGGTGCTCGTTATAATCTGATGACGAGTAATATAGCCGAGACGCTGAACAAGGCTTTGAGGGAAGGGAGGAATTCCCCGATTATAGAACTGTTGACATTTATCCAGACAATGATGACTAGATGGTTTGCGGCTCGTCGTAAGAAATACATCGGGGGATTGTTACTCCCGAAGTAGACAAAGTGATGACGAAGTATATGGCCAAGGAGAAAGGGAGCAAAGTAAATAGTGTTTCCAGCTGGAGTGTTCAAGTTGTTGGTCGGTTTGGATCAAAGAACAATGTTGTTCTGAAAGACCGTAAGTGTACATGCCATGCATATCAGAAGCTCAGAATCCCTTGTGGACATGCACTAATTGCTGTG